AAAGAAAGAAAGAAAGAAAGAAAGAAAGAAAGAAAGAAAGAAAGAAAAAGAAAAAAGTTGAGCATGATAATGCAGGCCTGTAACCCAGGTGAGAACAGATAGATCACAGGGTTCACTGGCCAACCCACTACCTTTAACCAGTGAAAGCCTCAAAAACCAAGGTGGATGGCTCCTGAGAAACAACACCTGAGATTCCAACCTCCCCACCTGAGTGCACACACACGCGTGTACACCCCAACACATACACACAGGAGAGACACAGGGAGAGAGAAGGGTGTACAGGGGGAGGGAGACTGAGAGGGAGAGAGAAAGACAAGGAGAGGGAAAGACAAAGAGGGAGACAGACATAGAGAGAGAAAGGGGTATGGGAGGGAGGGAGACAGAGAGAGGAAGATGGATAGAGATAGAGAGGGAGAGAGACAGAGAGGGAGAGAGACATAGAAGGAGAGAGGGAAAGAGACAGACAGAGGGGGAGAGAGGGAGAGAGAGACAGAGAAGGAGACAGGGAGAGAGAGGGTGGGGGGGGGAGGGAGGGCGATAGAGACAGACACAGAGAGAGAGTGATGTTTTCACTCAAATTTTTCATTTTGCCCAGCCATGAAAGCTGTTTTAAGCTCGTCGCCTTCTCTAGAAGAGGCAGGACAAAGGTCCAGGCTGCACCGATGCCCCCACCCTGAGTGTGTCAGAAAGCACAGCTGCTTCTGCTTTCTCTTGCAACCAGAAGCTACTATTTGGGGAGTTTTGTGCAAATGTTGACTTGTCAGCACTCTTTCAAACGAGCCAGGAAACCGCACATTCTGTCCAGCTTGTGCGTTGATCTTGACAGGAATTCTGATGACTGGAAGTAGCCAGATTTGGCTCCCACAGTCAGACAGATCGGCAGCAGCAGTTTGGCCTGGCACAGCCTAAAAAGGAGATCCCTGTGTCGATCAAAAATGCAAACAAAGGGCTGGGGAGATGGCTCAGTGGGTAAGAGTGCTCATTGTGCAAGCATGAAGACCTGGGTTCAAATCCTCAGTACCCACGTAAAAGAACCAGGATGGCTGCAAGTGGCTGTAACCCAGAATCGGGAAAGGGGAGTAAGACAGATGATCCCAAGAGCTCACTAACTAGTCAGCCTTGCTGAAACAGTGAACTTCTGGCTCACTTGAGACGCTGTCTCAAGGAAATAAGGGCAGAGCAATAGAGGAGGATACAACACACACACACACACACACACACACACACACACACACACACACACCAAGGCCAAGTTAAAGTAGGAGAAAAGTAAAGGCTACCAAAAGGAGCGGAATGAAATGCCCCCCCTCCCCAGGGCAGTGACGGGCTGCCCTGCCTGCTTCCTGGCCAGGTCCAGGATTTCATTCCCCACAGGTCAGGGCCGTTTACAGATGCTGGGTCGGACTGCTGATGGCTCGCCTGTCCCTAGGCTTGCATGAGGGAATCCTGCAGAGGCAGCGACTTGAAGAAGCAGGTGGGGCTCCTTCAGCACCTGAAGCTGAGCCCACCCGTGTCGGAGCTTCAGAAGGCTGTACTGGACATCCTGAAAGTCTCCCTGTCCTGGCTTGAGGAAACAGAGCAGCTGCTTGTGGACCTTAACATCCAGCTGTCGGGTTCTGACAAAGGTAACAGGGCCCCTCTCTCTTGTTGAAGTGTCTGGGATATCACCATGAGTCCTCCTAAAGCAGGGCATGTTGGGGAGAAAGGCTTTGTGAATCCTAAGGCCCGGTGAGATGGCTCAGCAGGTAGAGCCTCAGGAGGGGAGACCAACCCCCAGGACACACATGATGGAAGGAGAGAACCAACTCCCAAAAGTTATCTTCTCTTTGATACACACAAACATTCGTGCAAAATACATGTAAAACGTAACTTAAATCTTCAAGTAGAGGGGCTGGAGAGTTGGCTCAGCAGCTAAGAGCACGGACTGTTCATGCAGAGGACCCAGGTTTGATTCCCAGCACCCACAGGGTGGATCACAACCATCTGTAACTCCAGTTCAAGGGGATCTACTGCCTTCTTCTGACCTCTGAAGGTACCAAGAACACACAGGGCACACAGGCTTATGTTTAAGCAAAACACTCATACATGTAAAACTAAATAAACAACATTGAAAGCAAAACCTTTTTTAAGTATAACCAGGTGTAGTGGCCACACCTTTAATTCCAGCACTTTGGAGGCAGAGACAAAGAGATCTCTGTGAGTTTGAGGGCAGCCTGGTCTACATAGTGAGTTATCATTAACAGTGACAGTAGCCACATTAGGGTCAAGGTGGTAGTAAAGAGAAAAGATTCAGGATTGTACATAGTCAGCAAAAGGCAGAAAGAAGACTACATGGCTGAAGTCTGTGGATGCAGTCCAGGTTCAAGGGGAAAGGATGAGTGAGTTCAAAGTGGTGCGGAGCTGGGGAGGCAACTCCAGCTGGATGCCTTGTCTGGACATAGAGGCCAGCAATGCATCCCATGTACAGGGGAGCTCTGCCACATTGGGAGAGATTCATAAGTAGGGATGGATGGAAGAGAGATGAGGAGAGATAAAGAAATGAGTGTGAGAAAGAGAGGAAAGGAAGAGGAGACAGAGGGAGGTAGGAGGGAGGGAAGATGGTTGGAGGGTAGATAGGAAAGATGGATAAGTGCATTGTGGGTAGATGAACAGATTAATGGAGATATATGAAATATATAATGGAGAGATACATGTATATACAGAAGGATGAATGATATGTGGAGACTGATAGATGGATGATGGGTAAATGAATTAATGGCAAGTGGATGGATGGATGGATGGATGGTAGATAAATAGGCAAATGGATAGATAATGAATGAATGGGTTAGTGAGTCCATGAACAAATGAGAGGAGAGATGGATGGATGGATGAATGAATGAATGGATGGATGGATAGAAGGATGGAAGGATGGATGGAAGGATTGGTAGATGGATGGATGAATGAATGAATGAATGGATGGGTGGATAGATGGAAGGATTGGTGGATGGATGGAAGGATTGGTGGATGGATGGGTAGATGAATGGATGGAAGGATTGGAAGAATTGGCGGGTGGGTGGATGGGTGGGTAGATGGAGGAGTTGGTGGATGAATAAGGCCGTGGGAGTGGATAGTATGTAAAGAAACAATGCAGAATGAGTAGAGACAGTTCCCAGGGACATACTCACAGTAGCACCAACATTTTGGAAATTGTGCCCTTGAAAAATTGTTCTACCAAAAGTCTTTATAAATATGCCTTTGTACAGCCAGGAATGAGAGAAGAGAGATGTCTGCCTTCTAATGCTTCAGCCCCCAGACAGGGTGTCTCCAAAGTAATCCATAAGACAGTATAAAAGTTCTTTTTAAAAAAATAAAACAAAAGTGAGAATAAGCTTAATTTATCTAAGTGTGTACACAGAAATGAGATATGAGGGCTGGGTCAGGGGGTTGAAGGAGCTGGCTTGTTCCCATCCACCACCGGCTCTCCAGCCAGGCTTGCCAGGGGAGGAGTGGCTCAGGCTTTTCCAGTTGCTTGTCCAGGCTGGAACCAATAAGAAGCAGCCCGTCGCACCAAGCTGTGTGTATGCTGTCCCCTCCTCACTCCCAAGACCATTTCCGTCATCTCTGTCTGCGTCTGTAAATGGAGCCATCTGTTACTGTAAAGAAATATGGATGTGAAGTTAAGCTGTCAAGGCGGCGGTTCCAGAAAGGCTGAGAAAGACAGGCCATGGACGGCACTCCTCAGACCCAGCATAGTTGGAGCCTGGATTCAATCGCAAGCTCCCAACAGGCCTCCTCTGCTCACACACTCTTCTTGTGTACAGGAATGTAGGGTGGGAGGTTCCTCGGTGCAGGTTTTTTTCATGCTTCTTATGCCCAGCTTGATTTGGGGGGGGGGGTGATCTGTGAATCAGTAGTGAGGTAGGGTTACTGGCTGCGCGCCATGATTACAGTGACCTGGTTCAACAAAGTTGAGAGAAGCAAAGAGTAATAAGAGGAGCATGTGGAAGAGGAAGGGGATTTATCTCTGCACAAGCAGTGCTCACGTCAAGGCCAGAGTGTCTCTCAGTCTCTGTCTCTGTCTTCTGTCTCTCTCTCTGCCTATGGATTAGAATGTAACTCTCAGCTGTCTCTTTCAGCACCTTGTCTGCCTGCATGCCACCACACTCCCAACCATGGTAGTGGACAAAACCTCTAGAGCTATAAGCCAGCCCCAAGTAAATGTTTTCCTTAGGAGTTGCCTTGGTCATGGTGTCTCTCACAGCAATAGAAATGTCTAAGACAGTGATGATGGTGATGATGGTGGTGATGGTGGTGATGGCGATAGTGATGATGATGGTGAGGGGAGTAGCCATCTTCAAGCACTTGTCTTTGATACACCATCCTCAACATTTGCTTGTGTTATCCCTGCTCTCCCCCACAACAGCTCTATGAGGCAGGGGCTTATGTTCGTCATTTTGAAAATGAGTGAGCTGTCACTTAAAAATGGTTGCTATGATTAATCTACCAGCATATAGTGATTAAGGTGCTTGTCATGATTGAGACCAGTGAGCATCCACATCTGCTCACTGCCGTTCACCAACATGCAAGAGCCTGTGTAGCCACAGTTAGAGGAAAAAGCAGGGATTGTGGGTCATCTGACACCTTCTGAATACTTGGCACTGTGCTAAGTATTTCTCTCCTGGGTACTAAGCACTGTACTAAGTGTTTCGCTCCTGGGTACTTAGCACTGTGCAAAGTACTGCTCAGTACTTGGTACTATGCTAAGTGGGGTTTTTTTTAAACTCCTGGGTACTTAGCACTGTGCTAAGTGTTTCACTCTTGGGCATTAAGTGCTTGCCAGGTGTTTCATGGAGCACGTGCTTTTGTATCCTCCCACCAACCCAGTGAGGCAGGTGTTAATGCTGTCTTCATCTTTGCTAATGTTAAAACTGTCATGGCAGTCAGAACTCACAGCGAGGTCAGTGTGTGTTCAGTCATGGCCCCACATTTCCTCTGAAGGCCCAGCAGGGCACCAGGTGGTGCCTACACCATAGAGCATGAGTGCTGTCATGACCCCAGGCAGAGACAGGCCTATACCGCCATTCCCCAGGTGAACCTCATCCCACTCATAGTGTGAGTCTCAGCCCAGTTGCTGTTACTGTAACAGAGCAGCCGAGCCTGGACAGTTTATAAAGAAAAGACGTCTGCACCGCGCATGCTTCTGAGGTCCAAGAGCGTGGCGCTGGTATCTAGTGAGGCCTTCTTGCTGCATCCGAGTGGCAGAGGGTGCCAGCCAGCCAGCCAGAGCCGGCTGCTAACTGGGGCCTGTCGTCTTGTGGGATCCATCTCCAAAATACCATGACATATGAATCTGGGGGTTAATTTTCAGGGTGAGTTTGGCTGAGGACATCAGCACAGCCCCAACAAAGCCCCGTGCGCTCTTCTGCATCTGAGCTTTGGACCCCAGGTTCGGTGCTCCACTGTGAGGGCGGGTTCCGTGACAATGCTGCATGTCTCTCCACGCACCTGTTTGCAAAATAGTCAGGTATAAGGAGTGAATGGCCTCCCTGGCCCACAGTGAGCCTTTGATAAAGAGGACCTGCTCTCCTCAGCAACCTCAGATACCTGGTGACATAGTGTGGGCCGCTGATATGTGTCTGGCGGCCTGACTTACACTGGGGAGACTTTATCTAGAGCCTACCTACCTCTCCCAGGCAGTGAAATGAGCGTTTAGTAGGACCAAAACAGAAAGAAGCGATTTCAAGACCACCTTAGAGACGTGGCCTTGTGTCCTTCCCTGCTCCAAGTCCTTTCGGCCGGAGACCCACTCCTAACCACCACGCTCCCTGCAAAGAAAAGCAGCAAAGCAAGCATGTGTGTAAACCCCTGAGCAGCCCAGGTTGCCTAGCGTGAGGGAGCCTTGGAGTCTTTCTGCCCGGCTTCTGGGCAGTGCTGCTTCCCATCTGATTGGCAAAGGGAGAGCTGGGAGGACAGAAACATCAAAAGGGGGAACCTTGAAAGTCGGCTGTCCCAGCTCTGTCTCTCAGGCTGCCTTGATAAGAAGGGAGGGAAAATGTTGCTTAGAGCTATCTCTTCAAGCCTGATTGCCTGTGCTCATTTCGGCAACGGTGGGGAATCCCCACTTCTAGAAGAGCTGAGATAGGTCGTATCTTTAATGGACAAAGAAGAGGAGGGACAAAACTCTCCCGTTTCCCTCCACCACCACCATTATCATGGCTGCCATTATGGGCTTTCAGCTGGCTCCTTTGCTCTCCTGCCTCTGTGTTCTCACAAGACTTTCAAAATCCGGCATCCCTGGCCAAGAAACAAAAGCAAAATCATCCCACTTCCCTGTGGATATGGACTGAAAGCTAGTAACAAGTCAGATACTACTCCAAGAGAAGAGCCTGGAGGAGACCAGGATGGACCTGAAGGAGTCACAGCAGCAGGGCTGTTGTGCTGAATGTCGGGGCTGAGCCTTCTACCAGCCACAGCTCAAAGTTTTTATGGCTGGAGATTTAGGCTCAGCCAGAACTGAGATTTGCTCTTCATTTGTCCTCCATGAGCGAGCTGGTTGGTTCAGTAATAAATATGTAGAACCTTGAAAAAAAAAAAAAAAAAGAAGAGAAGGAAAAGAGGGAGGAAGGGAGGGAGGGAGGAAGGGAGAAAGGAAGGAAGGGAGGAAGGAAGGAAGGAAGGAAGGAAGGAAGGAAGGAAGGAAGGAAGG